GAGAGAGAGAGAGAGAGAGAGAGAGAGAGAGAGAGAGAGAGAGAGAGAGAGAGAGAGAGAGAGAGAGAGAAATAATCACATATTTTAAGTTACTGTACAAATATTAACACCCTCCCTCCCCCCACAAATTATTAAATACAGTTCCCAAGTTGTGAGCAAGACGGTGCGCTAACAGTGTGAGCGGACCTCTCAGGTAGCGCCCATCAGCCTTGACAAAAAAAAGTTTGAAGCCTACCGGGAGAAGCGTCCCCGTGTTTATCAGAGAGGAAACCAACATCCGTCCAGATTTCCCGGCCCGTATTCACTAAAAAGAGGCGCTAAACCCGCAAGGGCCCTACAAAGAGCGCATTAAATAACATTATTCAAAATGATTCGCTATTATTAATTTTTTTCTTCGGGTAAATTACGTGGAAATTTTGTGGAAAAAAAACTGTTATTTTTTCCTTCAGTTTCTCCTTGTTTCAATATAATTTTTTTTCAGTATGTATATATATTGTAAATAAAAATAATTAGCAATGCATTTTGAGTGATACGGAATAAAGACAATTCAAAAGGTCAGCCCCAAAAATATTTTCGTTTTTATGATTTGTATGAGACTGATGGAAGTTATGTGTATGATGTATTACTGTTGTATGATGTATTAGTGTTGTATGATGTATTACTGTTGTATGATGTATTACTGTTGTATGATGTATTACTGTTGTATTACTGTTGTATGTATTACTGTTGTATGATGTATTACTGTTGTATGATGTATTACTGTTGTATGATGTGTTACTGTTGTATGATGTATTACTGTTGTATGATGTATTAGTGATGTATGATGTATTACTGTTGTATGATGTATTACTGTTGTATGATGTATTAGTGTTGTATGATGTATTACTGTTGTATGATGTATTACTGTTGTATGATGTATTAGTGTTGTATGATGTATTAGTGTTGTATGATGTATTACTGTTGTATGATGTATTACTGTTGTATGATGTATTACTGTTGTATGATGTATTACTGTTGTATGATGTATTACTGTTGTATGATGTATTACTGTTGTATGATGTATTACTGTTGTATGATGTATTAGTGTTGTATGATGTATTAGTGTTGTATGATGTATTACTGTTGTATGATGTATTACTGTTGTATGATGTATTACTGTTGTATGATGTATTACTGTTGTATGATGTATTACTGTTGTATGATGTATTACTGTTGTATGATGTATTACTGTTGTATGATGTATTAGTGTTGTATGATGTATTAGTGTTGTATGATGTATTACTGTTGTATGATGTATTACTGTTGTATGATGTATTACTGTTGTATGATGTATTACTGTTGTATTACTGTTGTAACATCACTTGTGTATGATGTATTAATGTTGTATTACTGCTGAACCCTCGCTCCTTAATTTCAAGCTTCCTAGGTTAGCTTATGTTAGGTTAGGTTAGGTTAGGTTAGGTTAGGTTAAGTTAAGTTAAGTTAAGTTAAGTTAAGTTAAGTTAAGTTAAGTTAAGTTAAGTTAAGTTAAGTTAAGTTAAGTTAAGTTAGGTTAGGTTGGTCAGGAAACAGGACAATGTTTCCTGACGCGGGTCTTTAGTCACATGTTGACTCACAGCTGGAGCTTTTGGTCATCTGACCGAGACCTTCCCCTGGCTCACCCCTTAAAAAAATAAGTTTATATATTTCTAATATGTCTTCCTGCCGCAGCACGACGAGTTGCAACCATTTTTTCACATCCAGAAAGTAGTTAAAACAAGACTTTTTATCTAAGTTTTTTATTGCTATTAAAACACCGCTGTTTTAATAATAAAACATCGTTTTGTATGGAGATAGTTTAAGAAACTACTGATCTACTATGACACTATGATCTTCAAGGCCCCTAAACCCTGAGGGGCCCCAGAAGCGACTTTAGTCCATATTTTTTTTTTTAAATTGGGTCTACTGTATGAGAAAGGTTTTTACAAATATTGATAATATAGTGTAAGTTACTACAAAATAAAAGTTAATATAAAAACTTTTTTTTGGGTAGCTTGGAAAGGAGATTGGATAAGTTTGTGAGCAGACCTTCTACAGTGTTCTTATGTGGGATAGCGATGAAGAAGTTTCTTGGCAAGTGGTTCAGCTATGTTATAGAAGCCACTATTCTGGTTGAAGTTGTCGGATATAGAAATAAGTGATGATTCCAGGATTCTTCGGTATTGAGTGTTGTCTTCTGTGGCGATAAGTCTTGAGTTTCTGTAGTTTATCAAGTGGTTGTGTGAATTACGGTGTTGTACGCAGGCATTCCTTGTGTCGTCAGACCTGCTTGCGTATTGGTGTTCTGAAATACGTGTTTGGAGGTCCCTTGATGTTTCGCCAACGTATAATTTGTTGCAGTCATTACAAGGGATTATGTATACCCCTGCAGAGGGTGGAAGCTTGTCCTGTCTATCACTGGTAATGTCCTTGATGGTCGTGGTTGTGGAGGTAGATACTTGAAATGAGGTATTGGAAAAGATGTTGGAAACGTGTTTGGCAATGGAGTTGGTGGGGAGGACTATGTATCTCTTCTCGGCAGTGTCTTCTCTGGGTGTGTTGATGATGTTTAATGCCCGCCGTCTGCAGTCTCTGATGAAGTGACGAGGATAGTGGAGTTTAGAAAATACTTGTTCAATCATCGTGCATTCTTCTTCAAGAAACTCATTGCTGCAGATTCTGAGTGCACGCAGGAAGAAGCCTATAATTAATTAATTATTGAAGTATGATGTAGACGAGCTGTTGTTGGTTGTCAAGGTGACCCATAACAGTTGAGGTCCCTTGACCTGTACTCCCTGGAACGTAGGCGAGAAAGATACATCACGTCATGGCTAAGCTCGTGTCTTGTAGGTGCTCCACCACTCTTCTGATAATCTTCTTTACGGGTTGTTAACTCGTATATAAAATACACAAACATGAAATATTGCCTACAAGAATTTAACAGTGAAATGTCAGAGCATAAATATATAATTAATCAAGGCGAAGACGCACGTAACAGTGCATCTGTGTAGGGGGTTATTTTGTGGTGTATCATGCTGCCTTTATTATAGAACTTATTGTCCTGCTCCTGTTCATATTTACTCTCTCTCTCTCTCTCTCTCTCTCTCTCTCTCTCTCTCTCTCTCTCTCTCTCTCTCTCTCTCTCTCTCTCTCTCTCTCTCTCTCTCTCTCTCTCTCTCAGATACTTTCTTTGTCTCTGCATTATGAGTTAACACTTTATGTTGCAACGTTCTCACTCTGCTTAAAGGTGTTACAACATTCTCACTCTGAAGGTGTTGCAACACCCACACTCTGAAGGTGTTGCAACACCCACACTCTGAAGGTGTTGCAACACCCACACTCTGAAGGTGTTGCAACACCCACACTCTGAAGATGTTGCAACACCCACACTCTGAAGATGTTGCAACACCCACACTCTGAAGATGTTGCAACACCCACACTCTGAAGATGTTGCAACACCCACACTCTGAAGGTGTTGCAAAACCCACACTCTGAAAGTGTTGCAACACCCACACTCTGAAGGTGTTGCAACACCCACACTCTGAAGGTGTTGCAACACCCACACTCTGAAGGTGTTGCAACACCCACACTCTGAAGGTGTTGCAACACCCACACTCTGAAGATGTTGCAACACCCACACTCTGAAGATGTTGCAACACCCACACTCTGAAGGTGTTGCAAAACCCACACTCTGAAAGTGTTGCAACACCCACACTCTGAAGGTGTTGCAACACCCACACTCTGAAGGTGTTGCAACACCCACACTCTGAAGGTGTTGCAACACCCACACTCTGAAGGTGTTGCAAAACCCACACTCTGAAGGTGTTGCAAAGCCCACACTCTGAAGGTGTTGCAACACCCACACTCTGAAGGTGTTGCAACACCCACACTCTGAAAGTGTTGCAACACCCACACTCTGAAGGTGTTGCAAAACCCACACTCTGAAAGTGTTGCAACACCCACACTCTAAAGATGTTGCAACACCCACACTCTGAAGGTGTTGCAACACCCACACTCTGAAGGTGTTGCAAAGCCCACACTCTGAAGGTGTTGCAACACCCACACTCTGAAGGTGTTGCAACACCCACACTCTGAAGGTGTTGCAACACCCACACTTTGCTTTGAGACTTCAGTTAACTTCAGTTCCTGCCCACCATCAACTATACATTTATCCTCACTTCTCAGTACTCCTGTGTAGACAGTAATGTATCTTCTCCCAAAAGTTGTATTATCTTCCTAGTTTCCTTTATCTCTGATTTTTAATTGATCAGAAATTCTTCTGTGTTGCAAGAAGACACTACCTAGCAAGCGTTCGGGTGAACATGATAATGGTATCGAATACCGACAAGTTGGTATATAAGACACATGGGCGACAGTTGGGTATCTTTCGCCTACACAGCAGGCTTCTTCAGTCGAATACAGAGGCAGCAGAAGCAGTAGATATGTGAAGACGGTGTAGTCAGTCCATCACCCTTGAAGACGTAGCTTTGAGGTGGTCAGTCCCTCTTCACATTGTTCCAGATTATGGAGAAAATACTCTTCGCCAGGATGAGGGACTCATTACATCGTCTTTACATCTCTACTGCTTCTGCTGACTCTGTATTCGACTGAAGAGCCTACTGTGTAGGCGCAACGTTTCGGAATAAAGATACCCAACTGTTGCACATGGAAAGACCTGTGCAAGGACCGGGCAGCGGGGGCGTTGACCCCTGAAACCCCTTCCAGGTATACTCCAGGTATCCTCCAGGTATACTCCAGGTATGTGTCTTATCAAGTGTCCGGTGTAGCAAGATATTCTCAAGGCATTCTAACCTGACTAAACGTAATCTTTCAAAACTTTCTGTATATTGGCTGCAGGTGATGGCTTCAGTGCCAGTCTTGGCTCCAGCTTCCTCCAGGACGTCCCTTCCTTCTGGTGGCGGCCAGTGAACAACACCCAGTGGCAGGCCCTCAAAAACAGTAGTGGGGTTAGTACGACTCGT